CGCAGTGGTGGGAGTTCACAGTCTCGTCTCACAATGGATTGGCCTGGACCAAGCATTGCGTTGGGCAAGTCAAAGCTCTCGAGCGCAATCGCCGCGACGTTGCTGGGGAGTTTCCTAACATGGCACGGAGTGTGGGGTCTCGCAAGGCGTACAACATGATGCAACAGGCTGGTCTTTGCTATGGGCCCAATTTCCAGGCTCTGCAAGACATCAAAACTGGCACTGTTGACCCGACTGCGGCAGCGAAGGTTTACCGGCCCAAGTTTTGCGCCGAGTCCCCTAGCAAAATGGCGAGATACCATCTTCATCCGATTCTCGTGGATGCCTGTCTTCAGATCCTCAGTCTAGCCGCTACCAAGGGGTACACCAAGAAGCATGGCATGGTGATTCCTACCCTGATTGAAGAGATTAAGGTCTACCGAACCGAGACCGACATCGATATCTCTTCTTCAGCTAGCGTTAATGGGGTTGGAGCCATTGTCGGGCGCGCCGATTGTGTCGACTCTGCTGGCGAGACCGTTCTGCGGATGAAAGGTGCTTGCCTGTCTCCTCTTCCTGGCCAAGAGACGTCTGCAGATGCCAAGGACACGCATCCTACCGCCAGATACCAATGGACTCCTCACGTCGAGTTTCAAGATGAAGCCACTCTCGTCAAGCGTTCTGAGACGGATGACAACCGTACAGCTTACATGACTATTCTGGACGAGATTACTTGGGCCTGCTTGAACTACATTCAAGCACAGCTTCAAGGCCTCCAAACTCCGGTTCCGCATTTGAAGTTGTATCTCGACTGGGTCAATGAACAGATCTCAAAGGGTCCGCGAACGGAGAGCGAGGACTTGTTAAAGGTCATCACGGACAAGGCTCTCGCTTTGGAGAATACCCCGGCTGCTGGAGTAGCTTCCGCTATCGTCAAAGTAGCCAGCCGGATCACCACCATCTTCCAAGGCCAGGATAATCCTCTAGGTCTGCTGATTGAGGACAACAGCCTCAGTCACGTCAACTCACTGCGGGACTTGGCTTTCGATTTTGCCCCTCTGGTCAGGCAGATCTCACACAGCAAGCCCAATTTGAAGATCCTGGAACTGGGCGGTGACACGGGTGTCCACACTGCAGACATTTTGAAGACTCTGGCGCTCGAAGACGGACGCGTAATGTACTCCAGCTACACATTCAGCGACTCCTCATCCGGCATGGTGAACGCTGCCAGGGAGCAGTTCAAGCTCACGCCCAACATGCAATTTGCGACGCTGGATATCAGCCGCGATCTGGTGGAACAGAATTTCGGCGACGAGCAGTACGACGTCATTATCGCAACAAATGTGCTGCACGCGTCGCCCGCCCTGACTGATGCGCTTTCCAATGTTCGCAAGTTGCTTCGCCCAAGCGGTCGTCTTCTTCTCACGGAACTGTTCTCCAGTTCGAAGTGGATCAACCTGATCTTGGGCGTCCTTCCATGGTGGTGGAGCGCTCAAAAAGACGGCCGAGTCAACGAGCCCTATGCAGACACTGAGCATTGGGAGTTCGCACTGAGAAATGCAGGTCTTGGTACATCAGCTATTCTGTCTGACTCTGAGCAGGAGTCGCTGCGTCGCAACAATTTCATGGTGGTGAAGCCCATCGATGACAAGGGCATCGAGGTCGCTGCGGCAGTCAACAACGTCACATTTTTGGAGACCGCGAGGAGCGATAAATCCGACTCACTCGCCTTGGCTCTTGATGCTTCTGGGTACAAGGTCACTCGACGTATTTTGGGAGATGAGGTTCCTCCAGGTGAAGATGTCATTGCTGTTCTCGACCAGCACTCGCCTTTCTTCAACAACCTCGATCAGAATCGTTACGACGCTTTCAAGAAGCTTGTGGACACACTTAACACGAGCGGATCGCGACTGCTCTGGGTCACTTCTTTGTGCCAAATGGCTTGCGACGACCCTTCATACAGCCAGGTCCTCGGGACCGCTCGTACTCTGAGATCTGAGCTGTCTGTTCGGTTCGCCACTTGCGAGGTTGACAAATTTGAAGCTTCAACAGGCCGTATCGCCGAAGTCTTTGAGAAGTTCCAGAATGACTGCGTCAATGAGGACGAGGAACTTGATCCCGACTATGAGTACTCAATCGTCGGCAATGTCGTCCACGTTGGGCGTTTCGCGCCATTCCCATTGGAGGATGAGCTCCTTGCGGCTGATGACTCCGGCCGCGTGGTATTGGAAACCAAGAAGCCGGGCATTTTGGCTGCGCTCACTTGGGTTCGTCGAGAGGCTCAGAAGCTCGAGCGTGATCTAGTGGAGGTTCAGACATACTCTGCCGGGCTCAACTTCAGAGTAAGTTACTTCATTTCCACCCTCTCTGTGTCGATCTCTAACATGAACATAGGATGTCCTCAGTGCCAATGGTATCGTTGAAATTCCCGAAGAGGGATTCGGGCTTGAAGCAGCCGGCATCGTCTCCGCAATTGGTCCTGAAGTCCTAGATCTTAAAGTCGGAGATCGGGTTTTCCTTTTCAGCCGCGGGTCTTTCTCGACCTCAGTCACGATTCCCGAGAATCTATGTCAGAAGATTCCGGATGATCTGTCGCTTGAAGATGCTGCGACGATGCCTTGTGTGTACGCCACCGCTATGTACGCACTCTTCAACATCGGACGACTTCAGCGTGGACAAGTAAGTGCTTTCGTCTGATTAATCATCTTATTAAACGGCTACTGATCACAATCCAGTCTGTTCTCATTCACAGCGCCTGCGGTGGAGTCGGTATCGCTGCCATTCAACTCGCACGCATGGCTGGTGCCGACATCTATGTCACAGTGGGCAATGACGAGAAGGTCAAGTACCTTACAGAGACTTTCGATATGCCTCGAGACCGGATCTTCAACTCCCGCGACACCTCCTTCGTTGAAGGAATTAGTAATGCCACCCAAGGCAAGGGAATCGACGTTGTGCTTAACTCGCTCTCTGGCGATCTTCTGCACGCTACATGGCGATGTGTTGCTGAGTTCGGCACGATGGTAGAGATCGGAAAGAGAGATCTCCTTGGCTGTGGAAAGCTTGACATGGATGTCTTCCTCGCCAATAGGTCTTACTGCTGTGTTGATCTCGATCAGATCTGCTTCAAGAGGCAAGCCCTCTGCAAAGAGTAAGTCAAGCGATCAGATTTAACGGATGTTTGTCTAATCTTTTCTCAGGCTTTTGAAGTCCGTTGTTGAGGCCTACGAGGCCGGCCACATTCTTCCCATTAGACCCATTGAGATCTTCAGTGCATCCAAGATTAGGGAGGCTTTCCGCTATATGCAACAGGGCTTGCACATGGGGAAAATCGTCATCTCCATTCGCAACTCATCCGATGCCGCTCTCAACATGGACACCAGCACTGTCACGAGGAGAACATCTGCCAAACTCGACGAGTCAGCCTCGTATCTCTTGGTGGGTGGTCTGGGAGGTCTTGGTCGCGCCGTCTCCCGCTGGATGGTGGAGCACAACGCACGACACCTGGTATACCTCTCTCGAAGTGCCGGCAGCAATGATGAGGATAGGCGCTTCATTCGGGAACTGGAAAGCATGGGTGGAAAGGTTACCCTGGTCAAGGGCAGCGTCGTTTCCGCCGAGGATGTTGAAAGAGCATTCAAGCAAGCGCCGAACCTGAAGGGCATTCTCCAAATGTCTATGGTTCTGCGGGACCAGGCATGGGACAAGATGACTCTTGACGAGTGGGCACAAGCAGCATCACCGAAGGTCGAGGGGACTTGGAACCTGCACAACGCTACGGAGGGCATTGACCTCGACTTCTTCGTTCTCTTCTCATCCATCTCCGGTGTCATCGGTCAGCCAGGCCAAGCCAATTATGCCGCCGCCAACACCTTCCTGGATGCCTTCTCTCAATACCGCTCGAGCAAGGGCCTTCCCGTCGCCTCCATCGACGTTGGGGCAGTCGATGATATCGGCGTCATTTCCAACAATGAGAATCTCCGGAGGGCCATGCTCGCCACTGGCGCCTACATGATCAAAGAAACAGAGCTCTTGGAAGCCGTCGGCGCAGCAATGATCATGTGCCGAAGCTCATCGGTAAACAGAAATTTCGTCCTTGGTCTAGCGTCCACGATACCTCTGAACAGCCCCAATAACCGGGCACTGTGGAAGAAAGACATGCGGATGGCGGCTTATCGCAACATCAGCGGTGACGGCGATGGTGGGGCGGGCGCTGGCAGTGACACGATGAAGGCGCTTTTGGCAACGATTCGGCACGACGAGGCGGCTCTCAAGGATCCAGATACCGCGAAGACTTTGGCGTATGAAATTGGTCGCAAGTTATTCAGTCTTGTGCTGCGTAGTGACGATGAGATTCAGACATCGGCCTCATTGGCTGACTTGGGCATGGATTCTTTGGTCGCTATTGAGATGAGGTCTTGGTGGAGAGCAACATTTGGTTTCAATATCAGCATGTTGGAGCTTTTGGGCATGGGCAATTTGGATGCTTTGGGCGAGCACGCCGCTGATGGCTTATTGAAGGCGTTGAAGGGGGAGATTTGAGAAGAAGGAGGATTGGATCGTATTGAATGCCGATTGCAAGTGGAAGAGATGAGATCCTATTTACCGCAGTCTAGAATTTTCTATGTTTGATTGATGGCTTTTGAAGGAGAGGTTTGGGCTCGATGCGTCACGTGCGGGAAAAGCAAGATCGAGTAGCAATCAAGGTGAAGATACCCACAACTATAAAGGTTCGCCAGCCACCCCGTTGAGAAACGAATAAAGCTTTTCGAATATTTCGATAATACCCTTGAGGTCTTAAACCCATTTTCATCTCCTCGCTTTTGAAGTTTGAGTCTCATGGTTCTTCTTGAGCTACAGCAATATGAGTTTGTAGATACGACGCAGCCCCCCCCCCCCCCCCCCCCCCCCTCCGGCAAAAAGACTACGGCAATATTCACCCCATAAGCGGGCACAATTCTGGAAACACTATATGGGCACTTTGACCTGTGCCCTCTACCAATTAAGGAAAACAGTATAGGCTACAGCAATATAAATGTACCAACAATGAGGAGGAGAGCAGCCCAGTGGAACGGTTCCATCGTCTCCTCAGTGGACTCGCAGTTGTTGTCGTCTTGGGACTTTCCCGCGAGCTCCAGTCTTCCCGGAACATCATCATCGGACTCACAGTTCTTGTCGTCTTGGTAATTATCCCCGTGCTCCAGTCTTCTCGGGACAATCTCTGGGCTTGTCGTAAGCTCTCCAGTCTCCGTGGACATGTTTTCCACCGCCCACAGACGCAAAGGCTCGTAGATGTGATCTATCTGTACGAAAGCATCAGCTGGAGTCTCAAGACATTGGGAACTACTTGTTTCAAAAATAGAAAACATACTGCGTACGAATGCGTAATTTCGGGAGGTCCTCCCCTTCCTGGTAGGTGGAAGTGGGTTATGACTTCTTGACATTGGGGACATCTTGCCAATTTGATTTCCTCAGTGAAGGCCGTGAACATTGGCGATGCGCACTAGAAGAGATCTGTCAAAATACGAGCCCATCATTATCTTGAGAAACACGTACCTTCATACAGATGCTATGTCCACATTGGCCGACATACGTCTTTTGCAGAACATCCCAGCAGACACAGCAACGGCTGTCTCGGACTATATCCCGTAGGATATGCTGTGCCTTTCTCAGCTCACCAATCAGGTCACCCTTGTAGACCGCGATGTCATCGACACTAGTGGTTGCATGCTCCTGTGAATTCGCCATGATGTCGGTGTCGTGGGGCTGGTATAGAAAGACAGTGTTGTCGAATTGTTATGGGAAGATGGAAGCGGATACGATATTTTACATGCATATGAGAGACATCGCTCCTTTAATTATTGCCAGTTTCTTTCTCCGTAACGACCGTACTTTGGTTGGTCTTGTAGACCTGCGCATGAGCATTTGCGCAACAGGTTCACAACCTGGAGGGATAGAGTTCACAGCAGATCTGATCTTGGAAAAACAAGGCCTTTGACGATGTCTCGTCCAGAATAGTACGTTTTTTCAAGATAGTCTAATGCTTTTTGATTTTGCTAAAGAGTAGGGGCTATTTGCTCATAAGTCGTTTCGTTACTGATGAATAATGCTATTGTGAGGGGGCGCCCCTAGACACCCATCTTGCTAGCTCGTCAAGCTCATAGCTGCCACACCGGAGCATCAACCGCTGCGTGTACGGTACTTGCACTGTGTTCGAGCCATCGCCGTCGACGGACCCTGCTAGATCTGCGAACCGCTGATCGGTGCTATAGTCCTTTACGCGCATCTCCTCGGCCGGCAGCGAGAACAGTGGCGCGTTCTCCCGATTGACCTCCTGTATCTTGACGTTGTGCTCCTGCTCAATCATTCGCTGCCCAACAAGGTGCAGGTTCCCAAGGGTGACCGGCTCTCTGCGTCCGGTGGCCAGTTCGCAGACTATCAGCCAGGCCTGGTAACGGATGTCGAGCCAGCGACACTTGGAGATGACGAACTCCATCAATGGGAGATAGCTCATCTCGAAGTTGAAGCTGTACAGCGACGAGTCTGGTGGAAGCTCTGGACACCTGGTGAGGATTTCCTGGGCGAGGCTTGTGATCCGTCTGAAGTGGGTCTTGAACGAGTCGTAGGCGGACTCGTCCGAGAACCGGCACACGCTGATGCACATTTTGGCGACCCAGTACTTCATCTCCGTCTCCATGCAAATAATCTCGGCGTGTGGTGGTAGGGGTTGGTCGGATCCGAATCGTGGTTCGCGGATGAAGGCCGTGAAGGCGGCATGCCACTTGTCGAAAGCGTTGCACATGGCAGTCTGTTCGTCGCTCATGACGGGGCCCCTTAGGCGTGAATCTGTCCAGGATTCGGGGCCTGCTGAGCGGATGTATCTGATGGCATCTAGGATGATGGTGTCCATCGCGGACTGCGGTCGGTATATACTAAAGCTTTTGTCGAAAGGACCTAGATTGTATCTCGATGTGGGTCCATGGTTTAGGTTGAGGTTAGGAAAGCAAGGTCTGTCGTAGAAGCACATCTGGATGATGCTCAATCGATAGAACTTGGGGAGAATGTCCTCGATGGTCATTCGGGACAGCTCGCTATAGTCCACGTTATTGAGGACTTCTATCCCCGTGGCAAGTTGTTCCATCGCCGCCCCCAGTCCTTCTCGCAAGAAGTCCACGGACATGAAGAGTAGGCAGCCACACAAAGTGACATTGACCTCGCTGTTCTCCTTTGGGTCTGATTCGCCCTCGTCGTTATAGGGTTGAGGTGGCGTAAACGAGCTTGATGATGTCTCTGCTCTGTTTCCATCCGGGAGCGGGGTGTTCGAGAGGCGGCCTGTCGATGGTAGACTGGTGGACGACGAGCTCGCTGGGGAGTCGACGATACCTGCTAGGTTGAAAGGGGCTCTTGACTGGCCACTCATTGCCTGCGTGTCTACTCCGGGCTTTTGCTTGCGGGTGTTTCCCCCGAGTATGCCCAGAAGCCGGGTGTAAGGTTCAGGAACTCCAGGTGCATTGCCGTCGTCAGAGGCGTTGTCTGGCATGCCAGGCATGAGCGTCGAGATGGCAGCCATCGCTTCTCGGAACGCCGGCTCCGTCCTGCTCATGCGTGGGATGATGTCGGTCCACAGGTTTCCCTCCAGATGCCCGGGTATCATGGGCGCAATCTTCCGTCGGAAGTGCTCCATGATCTTCTCCTCGTCCATGTCGCCCTCCCACGCAGCCGATGCCTGAGCCAGAGCGGCGTTCAACTTCGTCGCCCGTGACCGGGCCCGGGCAAGGGCGCGGTTACTGGGGACGACGACGGCGTAGCCATCGCATTTGCGGCCGGTGCTTGTGCATCGAAGGCAAGCGGGCTTTGCCTCGTCGCATTTCACTTTGCGCGACCTACGGGAAGACAAGCGTACGAATTAGAATGACAATGTTTATTGGTAATCGGATGAAGTAACCGAGCACGTGAGCCGGACTCTCCGATCAGGCCGAGTGACCGAGAGGCAACTTGAACCGGTCGCCCGTCCGGCCTCCGCGACCTCGTCTCGGAGACTCTCCGTCACGGCGCGGGACCGTTCCAGACCGTCGGGTCTGGCAAACGACGTCATGCGGGCTTTTTGGGGCACCGGGAATTGAGGTGCCGCCGGGCGGAACCGAGTCGAGGGCCGAGAGTTCGAGGGTAGTCGAAGAAAGAGCAGGTACTTACTTGCAGGTCAGACAGCCGGTTCGAACCTTTGGCTGGCCCTTTCTTGTCATTGTTGCTCGCTGTCCAACTCGAACAGGCACATGGAGAGGAGAGAAAAGAAGGTACAAAACGGGCCGGTCTCAACCGCAGCTAGCCCTCAGGTACCTTTGCCTTTACCCTCCAGTCCAAGGCCACGTTCACCCCTAATTGAATATAGCCAGGAACCAAGAGGTGCGGGCGCGGGTTGTGTGAGAAAGGAAAAACAAAAAAAGGGACAATCAGAAAAAGTCCGAGGTGGCCTATGGAGAGGCTCTGATGATCTTGAAGAGGTGTGTTTCAAGTTTTGGAGGGGCCGAAAGAACGAACCAGGCGCAGCGACCGAGGAGGCTGTGGGAATTGGCCGCTCAATAGTTTTACGCCATACGGCCAGGAACCACACGGTGGGCAGCAAGCAGCAGCAGCAGCAGACAGTAGCAGAGCAGCAAAATGATGGTGGTGGTGGTGGTGTCACTTCAGCTCCCTGCGTCACAGTTTTGCTGCTAATTTGGGGGCCGGTCGCTGTACCAAACAACAACCTGCTCCCCTGTGCGCGCCATCCCGTGCTCATGTCACCTGAGAGCAGCAGCAACCTTGGTTCTGTGGCCGATCCAACATGGCGCTAATTTTGGGCAGCCGTCGACTTGGCGTTGGGGCCGGGGTTCATTGCTGAGAGCGGTAGAGCGGGTGAAGAGTCTCCCCCTCGTCGAGCTGTATCGAGTCGAGCCGGTTGGCGCAAGGGGGTGGTGATGGGCGAGAGGGAAAACCGCTGCAGACAGCCGTTTGTGGCATCTCTCTCTTGAGGGGGGAAGACTCCTGTTTCGGCGCAGCACGGGGTAGAATACCTTGCTTGCCCGGCGGTCAGCGCGCATCAAATCAGATCATCAAATTGTCAAAGAGCCTAATTGTTAGGGCTCGGATATTGACAAGAGGAATTAGCGTCAGGATTCTAGACCCTGTCATGTCAGCTCAGCTCGCTGACGGCGAGCCAATGGGGGCATGCAAAGTGAGACACTTCAAGGGGGGATGAAAGCGGACAAGGCTCGCATTCTGCGAGTCCGTCTCTCACTGCCGAAAAATACAGCTTGCTTGCTGCTCACCGGGTTGTGCCTGTGCCAGAGGCAAGACGGGGTGGGGTGTCCCTGGGTCGAAACAGGACTTCGGCACGTGTCAGCTGTAGACAGAAAAAGCCTGCCCAAGTTTCGTTGTGCGAGGCTTTGGGCTTCAGCAATTAGATGAAGGGGGAACCAGCGGGTGGATCAATGGTTGCTGACGAAAATTGACTTTGGCGTCTGATTGGTACGCGGATCATCCTATCATTCCTCGCCTACGACGTAGAGCTTACCAACGGGACAGGGATAGCGGGGATATTCCCGACTTCCCTTGACAGCGATTGGTGCTCGTCTCGACGGAGAACACGAACTGTTTCTAACCTCCAACGACTCGCGGTATGAGAAATGACTGCGTTCAAGCGCGGCGGCCAAAACGCCACATTACCAAAGACTTTGGCAATTTCTGCTCGCTTTGCTATCTCTTATCATGGTTGCGCCAGCTAGTAAGCGAGGACACGGAATAGCCCCAGTTCCGTTTTGTCTGCCCAGGCAGGCGAATCCTAGGCAACAGGACCAAGGAGAGAAGGCCGCTCGTTCAAAAGCTGAGTGATGGATGGAAAGATCAAAACACCAGTTCAATTCGAAGGGAACCAATCAGGTCTCGTGAAAAGTACCATGCAGGTTGGTTCTTCTCTAGAGAAATTATTCATTGCTGATAGAGTCATTATGACAATACAGAAAGTCCCCTGCATGAACCTTGTCATCAGACTTCGACGAAAAGACTCAGCCACCAACAGCAAATGAGTGTTGTGGTCAAAAAATGACAGTCACATTTCACCTGCCAATTCGAGCTTTACATAATGTTCTTCGAAAGGTTCCATATTACTCCTCAGGTTTCTTGGATGTAGATCTGAGAGATCGCAATCAGATCAGGCGTGATTCCAGCCCTCAGCTGGCGCTAGCGAATGATATTCCCTGGCTTCAGGACCCACCGCATCACCATCTGACCCGCCTTGCTAGCTCAATCGGTAGAGCGTGAGACTCTTAATCTCAAGGTTGCGGGTTCGACCCCCGCGTGAGGCTCAAATCCTCACCACGATTGACATAATACAATCTTATGGGTTCCCTTTTTGGTTTTCGTGCTATTGATCCTATCTCCATGTCTCAGCATAACCATTGAAATATCATTTTCAATACGAAGGTCTCAAGTTTCGTTGCTGAGAAAGATAACCGTCAGCCCCAGCTGCCTCCCTGGGCCTCTATTCAGGTGCTGCTGGCACAAAGCGAAGGATCATACCTTCCATGATTGTTATCAAATTGACAACAAACATTGACCGCATGCCGTCTTTCAACAATGGAAAGCACATTCTGCTACCTTAGTATTGTTTAATCATTTGGTTGTCGATGCTGTTATTTCTCCTTTGTTTACGGGAGTCGGGCTATATTTGGAAGAAAGATGCCTGTCCCAGCCAACAATGATTCATAAAATCAACATGTCTATGATAATCTTTGCCCGGAAACTTAGTTCATATTTTGATCTTTCTTAACCAAACATGGCGCGTTTTACGGATTGCCCGCCAGAGGTTATCGTCGAAATTTGCCGCCAGCTTGTCCTTCCGTTACAGACAGAGCAGCATGTATACGACCTCTCAGTCGATGTCTCGACGGTCAACTCTCTTGCATGCCGAATCGCTCTTGCTCGATTGATGCGGACATGTCGCAAGTTGCATGATGCGGCAGGCTGTATGCTATACTCGGGCTACTATCACAATCATCACCCCTCAAAGGCTGTCACCTTCCTGAAAACTTTCGACCCTTAGGAAGGCAGCTCCCGCCCCGAGCTCGTGCGCCATGCAGACCTTCACCACAACTTGTACGAAAACAGCAGCGACGACATTAATTGGTCCAAGGAGCAAGAGGATATGACGAAAGAACCTTGGATCAACCGCTTGGCTGGAGCTCTGGGCATGCATTTGCCGAATGGGTGGAACAGGTGTCGTATCGGGATGCAGTTCGATCATGTTCTGGAGCATATCAGTCAGGTGTTTCTTACATACCTACCCAACTTGACCTCTCTTGATGTCAACCTGTGCCACGACTGGAAATTTGATCTACTGCAGCAATGGATTGAAAAGCGACCATCCGGAGGTAATGATCTACTCCCAAATCTTCGACGTCTCAAGATCCAGATGCGGTCCGCTAAAGCACGAAAATGCAAAGCCCATGAGATCATACTTGGAGGTGCCCCTAGGCTCTCTACCTTGGAGATATATGACTCAATGTCCTATACGGTTCCGTCGCAGTGTCAACTTGTGAACCTCCGGAGCCTGAAATTCAGCTATTGCTCGATGGACTTGAGAAGCATGACGGAGGTTCTCATGGCGACTCCAAACATCACGCACTTTCAGTATAGCGGACTACCTTCGGGTACCGAAACATCCAGGAAACCCCTCCTAGGACCGCAAATGCTGTGCAGTCTCCTCAGGAACGATTACGATGCTGCAGCTAGCCAGCCCAGTGGCACAACCAAGCTGGACCTCCCGAACCTCCATCGCCAGCTACGCACTCTGAAGATGGATTTCCACAGCACCCAGTATCCCTTTGACTGGGACGACAGCGAAACAGTCATGTCTCTGCAAGAGTTTGCCAAGCTCCGAGACCTGAGCATCGATACGCACAGCTTTACTTCTCGAACCGATAACCAGAACCATCTCATGATGAACAACATCGGCAGCATGATTCCGCAATGCCTTGAGACTTTGGAGATTAGTCGCGTCGGTGATTTCCTTCTCGAGGAACTTGTCCAGGTTGGTCTGAGAGAAATTGCCGATTCGGTTAGGCAGGGACAAACTCGACAGCTGAGACGGATAAACCTTACAGATTGCTTAGTTCATGACCATCGGCCGACACAACAGAAGGCTCTTCACGACTTACGGGAGATGTTCGACACTCCCGGCGCGCCTTCCGTATATCTTAACGACAAAGCCCTTTGAGAGAAACCCATCTGAATTGTTGATGGCTTGACAAGATGTTCACAATTTGTACTGGGAGTGGCGTTGAGCAGGGCCAGGTCCGGCATGCTAGAGTTGAAGAAACAACAACGACCTTTAGATGGATTATGAGCATTATTGACAAGGACACGGAGAGAATTACAGATGAGGTGCAAGTACTTCCACTGCGAACAGAATACAACTACCATAACCTGTTGGTTTGCTGGCTACTAAACTACCAATGACTCATGTCTTCTTATCCTCCCCCTCCAAATGTACCAGCTCCGTCACAGACGCATCATTATCATTGTCATTATCCGCCCTTGACTCGAAGGCTGAGAGCCTATGTCCTTCCAAGTCGTTTCCTGAGCCCCCTTTGCCCCTCTTTCTCTTCATCCCCGAGGAGCCAATTGTCTGTACGGAGCTGCCAACCTTGAACTGACTCTGATTTCCACCCTTGGTGAACAATCGTCGGATCGCAGGTGCACAACCGCAAATGATGGCGAAATTGGCCTCGAGAGCTGTCCAGATCCAGATATTGTAGGAATCCCACGTAAGGTCGTAGCTCGGGTCCTCGACGTAAGTGATCTCGACGTACAGCACCCAGTACGTACGCATGATGCCCGCGATGACCACCAACAGGCCAAGACCGAACAGCGCCGCCAAGCTGATTCGCTGCATCATTGGCATCTGAAGTCTGAATAGTGTAGGCATCGGAAGAAGGTAGACGGCGATGTCGGTCATGACGGTCGTGATGCCTTGGCCGGCCAGCGGGGGCCATTCTGGGATGCAGTTGCCCCAGTCGGCAAAGAGGGTCCAATAGTGCCAGATCGGTCTGGATCAGGCCCCAAGATCAGCATTCGAAACTTCTAGATGGAGCGCGGTTACTCAGGTCGGGTGACTTACGCGCACTGAGTCCATAAGACGATCATAAAGATCCACGTCAAGAGGAAAACAAGGATGCCCGTGACCCAGGTGAGGCGGGAGAACCAAGTGCCGGGGGCAGCAATCCTCAGGTAGCTGCAGAGAATCGAAAGCTTCGAGAGGCCGGAGGCAAACAGGAATAGCGTCTGCGCTGCCATCGATATCTGTGATATTCGCGTCAGTAAGCCAAGAGTCCTGTTGTGTGCTGGTGACCCTTACCTGACGACTTTGCCTGATTTCAGACAATGGGACGTCCCATACGTGTAGATTCCAACCGTACAGCTCCGTTGCTAATCCATAGTCGTTAGCATTGAATAGTCCTGGATCACTCTATCGAGGGCTTCGAACCGAGGATAACGCAGATCGTCACGCCAATGCAGAAAACCTGTCATCCCACATGATTAGCCATGATCCAACTTTGAATGATTTTCGAGATGTACGGGCTTACCATGGCTCCCACCATAAGCCAGTCGTCCCACCAAGTCTTGCGGATCATGACAAGTCTGACATACATCCGCAATCCCAAACATGTCAAGGCCATGAGCAAGAACACCAACTCAATGATCATCAACCCTGGCCCTTTCGTCTCCGGATTCGTGTAGTTCGGTCGTGGCCAAGCCAAGATGACACTGATCGGAGGAATCCTCATGTTGGAGAGCTTGTCGTTGCGGAACTCTTTGGCAACAAGTTGGCCTTCGTTGGCGTAGCGAGTTCACGGCATTCGCGCTGTCCCGCAAAGGAGAGCGGGAGCACACGTCCGATATAAACAGAACATCGCATCGCACCCCCTGAACACACGACACGCAACATTCGATCCCGAGCGTATGTGGCGCCGCGAAATTCTTCGTCGACGAAAAGCCTCTTAATTCTATGTGGTAAGCCTTTCCCGCTCCTCCCACGCGACATGGCTGCACAAAGGCAAGAGCGCGTTTCCAGGCGGCCGGACTCTCCCTAGCTCTGGACGCATGCGGCGCTACCGTGCTAGTGGATGCTCCGAATGCCTCGCGAGGCCAGCCACTGCCCATCCTTCTGGTTGATCAGGCGAGGGGCTGCTAGTTTCAGACCTAAGAGAGGAGCTAGAACCCATTCAAGACTTCGGCATTTGTGATGGAATGCCAAAATGACACGACTGACAGAGTCATACAACGAAACGACAAACGCCTTTGGGCAATATTTCATTGACATAAAGATGGCCCCACGATGAGCTTCATTGTCTGCCAGGCAGTGCCGTGTTGACGGAAAGCTCATCCGCGTCAAGAACGGATGATCTACACCAGCCCTATGGTCCCGGTCAGTGCTTAGCATCGACCCGTTCACCCAGGGCCCAAATTGCGGAGGCCCACGAACAAGTGCAACCCATCACAACTGAGACGGACGGAGGGACTATTGCTCACTAGCGGTCTCGCTTCGCTGATCCCCCAGGCCCAAGCTCGAATACCAAGGCTTGGACTCATGCACCATTTCTTAATTTTCCGTGGAAATATTGAGGCGGAATTGCGTTCCGCTGCTGGCCCCGCGGTAGAGTTGACGACCTCGTGGCAGAGGGCGCATATGGCGTGCGGCCCGCTCCCCAATTGGATTTTACGTCAGGCCACAGTTGTCAGCAAGCACGCCCCAACGGCGAGAAACGGCAGTCTTGCATAAGCCGAGTACTTGCAGCACCCGGCGTGTGTGTGGTAAGAAATCCCGCCTTCGGGGGCGTTCCCACTCTTTGTCGAGGTGCCGAGACTGCGGGGTCGGGCTGGGCCCGATTCGCCGTGTTCGGCCTCAAGAATCCGCCCGCCCGGTAGACGTCAATGTGGAATGTGGTGTGAAGCAACCTTCCTAAGACGGCGGTGTTGTGGCTGGGTAAAAGAAACAGGCGCAGACTATCAAACTCAATCGCGAGATACCAACATTTTCTATGCACCTTATCAGATGATCTCGTTTGACAAGATCAGGAATCCAAATAGCTGGTTTCTAAGACGATGATGTCCGTTTACTAAGAGTCCGAGTTCATCTTCCTTGTCACCTTTTGAGAGACGCAAATCTTTCCGAAGAACTAATCGTAGTAAATTTTAGTTGGCATTGTTTGATGGCCTTTTGGCACGGGCGAATCCTAGGCGTTCTCTTCCCCCCGATGAAATCTTTCTCTGTTCACCACTCAATCCCAGCCAGTCAGGAATGGGCGCAACTGACGGATTTGGTCAATTGATGCATCTCCACGCGCGATGTCGACACTCAATGTGGCTTTGATCACGGCAAGCGGAAATTTAGTTGACCAATAATCAGAGCAGATCAAAGACTGAGACGTTGAACAGTGCTCTGGCCGCAACGATCATCCTGTGGCTTGCTGCGATTGATGATTCCCCTATGCTCAAATAGATGGGAATATCCTCCGATATCATTGAGAATATTATTGAGCATAATCAAGCTCATATGAAGTAGCAACCATGAGCCTGGCAGATGATCTCGAAACAATCCAGGACATCTCCGCGCATCTGAGAGAACTTTCGCATTACGATTCAGGGGGTCGCACCACCATTATTTCCGATGAGAAATAGAGTTTAAGCAATCTGCAAAGCACAAGATTTCGGATGAACCGGGTACGACACAAAGGGCCTCAACTCCATACTCTTCATTAACTCTCCCAGGTTCCAGGGAGTTGGAAAGTTGATCTTGGGTTATGCGCCTCCTCGGGAGCGAGCACAGCCAACTTCAGAATCCCGAGATCATCGCTGTTCGCACCGATCAAATTACATGATGGTATCGGCTAAAGGACAATCAACGGGTCACTTGGAAACTTTCACTTCAAGGTACAAACCTAATTCGCCCTGTGCCGTTTCTGGACGGGGATGACCGGGCAGACAATGCCGTTCGAAGAGGGCCTCCCGTTTTGAAAAACCTCCGGACGAGTATAATAGGCCGGTCCGTAGTTCCTCTCATGTGTGCACGCGTTCCCAACTTAAGACCAGACAACCTACTGTCAACTTTGATAATCGGCGTGCATAACAGTCAACCGTTCGTTACAGTCTCATCTCATCAATCATGCAGCTCACAACTCTCACAACGCTCGCCCTCGCCTCCATGGCGATTGCTGCTCCGGCCGTGCAGCAGAACTCCGTGGTGCCTCTGTCCGAGAAGCTCAAGTCTTCGCACCCGGAGGCTTACGCAGCATTCATGACTGCACCTTTCATCGACCTGGGCCCTGCGACTGCGAATGAGAAGCGCCAGGCGGTCCCTGTGGACGGCCAGCCGAACGGAACGCGCCCTATCATCACGCCCGAGAACATCTTCGTGCTCCAGTGCTCTGATGCTGGGTTCCGGGGAGAGTGCCTTTCCTGGGGAGCCCCTCCTGGCAAATGCGGTAAGCATGAGTCTTCAACGCGACGTGACCCGTTGAGGCGATGAGCCCGAAACTGATGAAAGAATGCTCTTAGTCAACTTCTCTAGCTACAACAAGACTCAGGCATTCTTGGACAAGTACGACAACCAGACTAGCTCCCTGAGCACCAACACCGGTGGTCTTTGCCAATTCTACAAGTAAGAAACCGAGCCAATCAGAAGTAACGTCGTCGCTGACATGGAACTGCAGGTTTACCGATTGCAACAACAAGGGTGATGATCGTGGCGTCACCCTTTCTTACAACTACAACCTGGGTGAGGCCAGCGATGGCTACTCAGGCGACTACGATGACCAGATCAGCTCTTGTAAGTGGCAGACCTTTGGTATTTATTCAGTGAATTCTTGCTCACACTCAATACAGGGAGGTGCTGAATGCCCGAGTTCGGGGTTAATGGAGAATTGATAGATACCGAATGTTCGCGGTGCGATTCGGCACAACCGGAGCAGGCCCCTTTGCGCGCCGACACGGCGGTTGAATGAGCTGCGCCAAAAGACCAAGAAAGTGTAACGGCGCGGGGCCCCCATAACAGCCTAAAGACGCATGCCATTTGTAGAGTAGCGCAGAGGAAACTTCTGACTAGCTAGAGAAAAGTTATTCAATATGAGGCTCTTGGCGAGAGTTCCACCACGGGTCTCCCCTGTCGGGGGCCGTAAGGCGCACTGCGAATCCGAGAGTCGCGCCCGCTGTCGCCTCAATCGGCGAGTCACCGCACTCTCATAATTGTCCGGGCGTCCGGTTCTGTGCCCCTGAGAAAGCCGCGTACCGCGTAAACCGGTGTTCTATGGGTGTTCCTCATTGCAGATCCGGAGCTACCCAGGTGTTCGTCCCATCTAATAGGCATCGGTCCCATTCTGGCGGAGCATCATCTACCGGATTGCGGAGCGACACCCCGAGTATTTCGTTACCCAGCGGAGCTCCATCGCCCATTCTTCCTGTTACGACCTGTACCAATGTTTCACATAAGGGGAAACAATGACTCGGACAGGGGTTAGCAGCACAGTAGACGGAACCTTAACGATGGTAACTCTCCTGATAGGTCGGTTGGTGGGGTGAATCCGACGAGCTTCAATATCCGTAATCCAACAATATGAATTCGCATATAACCAGAGCAGATCTATCATCAGCCGGTGGGAGATATCATACCATCTTTACAACTTCTTGCATTCTGACACTCGTGGTGCTAGCACTACTTACCTTCTTTTCTTCAGGTCTCATCGCAGACCGTTCCATTCATTGTCCAAGCTTTGCTTGATCTTCATTCACTATTTTCAGCATTCGACACCCCACAACAATGTGGCAAGGATCTCATTTGGCTTGGCTTCTTGCGGCCGCAAACATCATTGTCCCTGGTGTGCAGGCCGTTGACACTCTCGTCGATGTCGGATATGCCAAGTTTCAGGGTGCCGTTACGAATGCCGATCTGGGTGTGACAACCTGGAAGGGCATTCAGTTCGGCGCTCCTCCGGTCGGCGACCTCCGCTTCGCCGCCCCGGCCGATCCGGTCCAGACCGGCACCGTTAATGCCACGGCCCACGGCCCCATCTGCCCCCCTCAACAGCCCACCGACTGGACTGTCACCGGCACTTATGAGCGCTTCACGGTTGATGAAGACTGTCTCTACCTGGCTGTCACTGCCCCTTCCGGTGCCAGTGTTGACTCCAAGTTGCCCGTAGTCTTCTTCATCCAGGGCGGTGGATTCGGCTCCAACTCAAACGCCAACTGGGACGCCAGCGAGATTGCTTCTGACGGCAACGTCATCGTTGTTCAAATCAACTACCGCGTTGGAATGTATGGCTTCCTTCAAAGTGAGGAGGTTCGCGCTGGCGGCGGTCTGAACGCCGGTGTCAAGGACATGATCAAGGCTCTCGAGTGGGTTCAGACCAACATCGAGAAGTTCGGCGGAAACCCCGAGCAAGTTGTCCTCGACGGAGTCAGTGCTGGTGGCTCCGCCGTCGGCCTTCTCATGGCCGCCGACACTGGCGGCAAGACGCTCTTCGCCGGCGGAATTGCCGAGTCCGGTGGCTGGGTCACGATGAGAACCATGGAGCAGGGCCAGGGCCAGTACGATTGCCTCGTCAAGGAGAAGAACTGCACCGACGCTACCGACTCGTTGTCCTGCCTGCGTGCTCTCAACCAGTCCGAGGTCCGTTCATCCAGCTGCTGGTTCAACCCCGGAATCGATGGTGAGCTTTTCTCCGACAGCATGGTCAACCTTTTCGAGGCCGGCAAGTACACCAAGGTTCCTACCATCTGGGGTTCTTGCGCCAACGAGGGAACCATGTACTCCGCGCCGCAGTCCACCAACTCCACCGAGGAGGCGAACACATGGCTCCTCGGCCAGGACCCCTCCCTCTCCAACAGCTCTCTCGCCATCCTCGATGACCTCTACATCGACGTCCCTCAGCCCGTCTTCCCCGAGTCCGGAGTCAAGTGGCGCCAGGCCGCCAACGCTATCGGCGACGTTGGCACCCACTGCATCGTCCGCAACATCCAGAACTACCTGGCCCGCGACGAGGTGACGACCTACAACTACAGATACGGCGTTCTCGACCCCAAGAACGAGGCCGAAGGTTTCGGTGCGTACCACACCGTCAACACGTACGCCTTCTGGGGCCCCAACCGCACCGACGGATCCGCGCCCGACTCTTACTTCAACATCAACGCGCCCATCATCTCTCAGTTCCGCAAGTACTGGGTCTCCTTCATCAAGAACCTGGACCCCAACACCGACCGCGAGAAGGGCGCTGCTGAGTGGAGGCCGTTCACTGGTCCCGAGGGCCGCGAGAGGTTGTTTGTGCAGACTAACAACACGCACATGGAGAGAATGAGCTCTGCTCAGGCTCTCAGATGCGACGTTGTCAGGCTGTTCTCGAACAACCTGGGCAAGCCTGTGGACACTGGAGTCGTCACTGAGTTGGACGCTACTTTGGCAGCTGGCATCAACAGCACAACCGAGTTTACCGCTTTTGGCAAGAAGAGACACGTCAGGCAGTTCTCTCTCTACTACTGATTCACAGTACTGTAATCAGCTTGGTTGCCTAAAATTCATTTGCACATATGTACTTATTATAACATGGACCGGGCTTTAGGCCGATCCGTACATGGAATGACATTCTGTCAACGTTCACACGACTTGCTGTAACATTACTTTTCATATAGTGACGCGTCACACTGCATGAGGTGATTCATTGACCATTATTACAAAACATAACGGAACATGGGCTGGCCAATAGGTTAGTATGCCTGCTCTCCAGAGTTTATGAGTCGCACTTACGTTTTGCTTGTCGGTGACATCCTCAAAGCCGAGCGCCTCGCCTTCCCTTTGCATTTCAGCAATCTCCTCCTCGGACTTGCCCTCGAGCATCTGATCTCTCTTCCTGTTCTCTCGGACGTAGATGAATCTGAGAATCTGATTCATGACCAGGTTCAGAATGAATCCGCACAACATAGCCACGATTCCGTTGTGGTAAGCGGGCGCCTCGGTGCTTTTGAAGAACTGGGGGCCAGCGATTTGGCCAACACAGTAGCAGACGAAGACCCAACCGGACGCAACAGACCGCTTGGTGCTACCGGCGATGTTGGTAGAAAGGAGGCCAAGGATGACCATGAAGCCGACGGGGTAAGCGCCGAGAAGCCAAACTCCGACCAGACGGCCCCATTTATTGTCGAGGTGGAGCTGGTTGATCAGGCAGGTACCAATGATCTAGGCAACTTTTGTATTAGCAACTGTTCCATTTCTCTTCTTGGAAATAGCGGACTTACGGGAGGAACCATGGCAACTGTGCCAATATGCAGCCTAGAGTTAGAGATCTTGCTTGTCAAGAAGCCAGCGCCAAGTTGAGCAACAACTTGAACCGTCGAAAGCGGGAGGTTCATGAGGGTTGTCTGCAGTGAGTTGAAGCCGAAACCTTGGATGATCAAGGATCCAAACGCCAGTCCTCCCGAAGCAATGGCGTTGACGAACGAAATGAGGCCAAGTAGAATAACTGCTGGATCCTTGGCCGCCTCCACAACTTGGGCCATGACGAAATTCCGGCTACGACCCGTGCCGGTCTTGTTCTCGGCAACACGCTGCACGGCAATGACCTTCTCCCGCTCTGTCAACCACTTGACCTTAGCAGGACTATCAGGCACAAAGATCGTGAAGACCACGCCCCAGACCACGGTCATGGCACCGAGGATAAGGAAAATGTACTTCCACGGAGACAGTGATCCGGTGATATGACCGATTCCAAACGCAAGCAGTGTGCCGATGAAGCTGCCGACGCCGAGAAACGAGACCCACATTGCCGAGCGACCGGCTTGCTCTTGACGGGACCACCACATGCCGGTAACTGCGACGAATCCGGGGCTGATGGTAGCCTCGGTGGCACCCAGAAGGAAGCGCACGCTCGCGAGGCCGGCGAAGGAGCTGCAAGCCGCAGTAGTCATAAGGATCATTCCCCAAAGAATGATGTTGGCACCTAGGAACTTTGCGACCGGAAAGCGCTGGAGAACGGCGACACCCGGATATTCCGCAACTAGGTATCCGAAGTAAAAGATGCTGCTCGCCCAGCTGTACTGTTGGCCATGAAGCTTGTTGTCTGGAATGATTCCCCAAACAGAGCTGTATCCAAGCGAAGTTTTGTCGATGAACTGCAGAGCATATGTGATGCAGAGAAAAGGCAAAATCCTACACCCAGGTAAGCGTGATTAACCCATTGGTTACACGAACTAAGTACCTTAAATCGATCTTGCGCAGTACAGCCTTCGACTCGGCCTCGGATAGTGGAGCAGAGTTAAGAGCAGAGGCGGCGAGGTCGCCAGTCTCATCGGTGATGTGGTGCTTCGAGATCGGATCATCTTCCCCGGGAGAGGGGCCGGTAGCGGGGTTGATGTCGGAGGCGGCCCGCTTCTCGGGATCGGAGGCTGTTTCGGTTGCAGCCATTTCGATATACGTGACAGTAAAGCTTCTCCGTCAGAGGCTTTTTCGAAGGTTGGCTTCTTTCTCAGGCACGAACCCGAAAAAAATCTTTCTCTTTCTGAGATTCGGGAAGCCGTGAGTCTTTATCAGTCAACGTCTCTGTTATGAGCAAGGGGAGTGGAGACCGGATATCGGGGCACATCCGACGATCGGCAATTGGTCTTTTCCAATGGTCTTATCTCAGGTCATTTCCTACCCCGTAACATTCCCGCTAAAGAATCCCCGGCGACGAACCGACTTGATGGGATTGGCAGAAGCTGTTCTTGTTACTCACTATCCTTTTGCTTATCGATTTCGTGCTGAGCGTGTATGCGAATGATTTTGGGTGTCAAGTAAGGAGGAACTGTCGAAACATGGAGCTTGATCGAACACAACTGCCAGCGCAGCTTTGTTACATGGTGTTACGAATAGACATCAGCTTGACAGCTTTGCCTGCCGGTGGCCACGTGCCTCAAGGATCACGGCAACGAACCGTTGAAATTTTTCTTTTCTCCGGGGAACTGATGGTAGCCCCAGCGTAACCGGAGCGCTGGGTGGCTGGAAACTGTACCGAGTCAACGAAAGTGGAGATGCGCATATCGGGTAGATATCTCCCGCGGGGAACGAACCGTTTTGGTATGATTTGTTGCCGCCTTAAGCTGGACAGTGGCTTGCAGTCTGCTTGCATTATTTTGCGTAGTCCGGAATCAAAATCGCCAGGGCTTCAAACTTCAACGTTATTCACACTTGGAAAACGAAACCGCAACTTGAAACCAATAACCTCTCAACAAACAGCAGTCTGCCTGTGAACCGACCACTGAGTACCGTGACAAATGCAGAAACTCTGGCAAGTGTAAGGTCAAGAATGATGCAAGTGTCGTTGATAACACTGCAATGGGGTAAATTACGAAGTTATCATTTAGATTGTGCGTTGTCGTGAGCACAGCAGCCCCATCACCGATACCAACAATCACCCGTTGATCGCTGGAACATTTGGGCAATGATGCAACATCTAGGATCTTCTCGTTCATTATGAGCTCTACATACATGGTATTGTTGGGGCGTCAGAGAACGCATTTAGGGCCCTTGCCCAAGGTAGGTTGAGGTTTGTGGCACCCGTCGTCGTTTCTTCGTGATAGACCTATTTCCTCTCAATATAGTCGGTAGGGGCACCGGCAGGTCTTGCATCGCTTGCTTTCTAATATTTCTATAGAAGCTTTTCGGATCCCTTGTTAGGCTCGTACCTAGCTTCGTGGGCTCGATATACCACTGGTCTTTTCCCATTTCGGTACCAATGAAGAAAAAAAGGGACTGTATGATATCTCTGTCGCTGGCTTTCGTTATAACGGATGGCAGATTGGAATCTTCGGCGGCTTCACACGCGTTGTCGCTGGAATCGTATTCGAGGAAAATGGCCGCGAGGGCAGCTAGGATGACCCCAGCCACTTCGTACCCAGAAATCTTATTCCCCATCCAGTCACATGGAATTTCTTGAGCCATTGTGCAGAATGTCCTGCCGCGTGGAACCTCAAGAATTGGACGGCCAGAACACGGAAGCTGGGCACGGTTGATATCAACGCCCAGCACTGTGATGGAGTCGCTCATAAGGTGCTGTCTTCTTGCATTTGCAAAAAATACCCTGCAAACTCCTGCATCTTTCTCCATCGAAATTGTTGTTTTGTTTGCGTGTACGGTGTCCAAAGGGCGCCGCTCCTCCGCAACCATCAAGCCGGCGATAGTTATGTCAACGTGCGTCTCTGCCCAATCAAGAGCCTATGGCAGTGTTATTAGTCATAGAGACGCCAAATGTATTTCCAATAACGCCTTTTTAGCTTACCGAAGACAACTGTCTTGTCGTGTTTCTGTGCGTTGCGCTCTCTAAATTTCGGCAAACTCTACAGACGTAAATGACGGCTGTGGGAGCTAGATTCAAGAGTAGAGAGACAATCAAACTGCCATGCCCCAGGGAGGTCGTTGTACGATCCTCATCCACCATATTCTCAGGGCTTGGTTCACTTGATTCCACGAAGTCTTTCCAGATGATCCGTAATTGATCTTCTGGGTATTTACGGAAATGGGGAATGTCCTTGTGGCAGCCTGTGTCCATGATGGCGATTCTGATCTCTTGTGGATTACGGAGTCCCTTCAACAGTGAATGAGCTCTACCGAAATTGTCTTTGGTCCAAGTTTCCTCTAGAGTGCTGTATGCAATGTCAATATGGTCGTTGACCAAAGGCCGTCTAGATCAAGGAACTTACTGAGCAGGGATATTCCATCCTTCAAGCGATTCCAGTTGGGTTACATGAGTACGGTCTGAGTCTCTCACTTCGCTCTCTTTACCTGAGCCAGACAAGTGAGCTCTCTTTTGCCCTATTGTTGTCTGTGTGCTGGATTCTATACTCGTAGTCGTAATATCGGCCTTTTCCGGATTGTGCGACAAGCTTTCGCTGACTTCGTGCAAAGCGTTCGTGGTTTTGTGTAAGGCTCTAGATTCCACCTCTCGCTTCTCTGCTGAGTCCATCATGTGTGTCCGAAGATTGCGTAAGATTGGATCCTCACTCGGATTCTCCCAGACTTCAGAAATGCCAGGTAGAAAACCCCATTCGTAAGTCCTTTTGTCCGCTTCCGGAATTTCATCAAGCAGCCTCTCATCGAAGAACTCGATAGTGGGTTCATAAGCTCCAATGATTCTCGCGTTCGTCTCATCATTTAAGATGTTTTGATAATCCAACACGTGCAAGAATCCTCTTTCAGAAACACTGTAGGTATCAGCCAGTTGATTTGCTTCGTTTCCTTCAAGATAATCGCCATGCTGTTCTCTGTGTTCACCACGTTTTGGGTGTTCCGTCCCAGAACCACGGAATGGTCGTGGAGGAACCAGCTCCTGAAACTGGTTTTGTTCCAAATCAACCCCCACGTCTGCGTAAAGCATCTCTGGAAAGTCGTCGAGTATGGTACTTCTAGCCCTTGGGTTTGTAATGACGATGCTCACACTCGCTTGGCTAGCCGAGTCCTCCAATCCTCTGGGGTTTTCTTGGTAGGGCGGTAGCGATCTGAGAGCAATAAGGCGCATGTGGCTAGTAATGTGGTCTTCCATGTTTTCCACTTCTGCCACTCCGCACAGTGGGCAGGAACTGAACATTGGACTCAGGTTCTTGACATTTCTGTCAGCGAGAACCCCTATTTGAGCGTCGGTCAACTTTCCTGGATGGATTTCTTTGATATGATCAATGTAGCCCTCCCTAGCATCTATCAACAGCTTGCCGTGCGACTTTGCGTGACAAAACCACTGAAGACAATGGTCGCCCATGTGATCCAGCCATTCCTGGCTGTGGCTATATAATTGCTCGCCCGACGGACATGATTCAAATAAGCAGACGTAGGGGTCAAGATCGTCTTTGACATGTAGCCTTGAAACGGTAAGTCTTTAAGTCGAAAAGTTCTGACAGGATTTTGAGTGAAAAGAATGCTTCAGAATGGTGAGTATCATTAAGCTTCTCTGTACTTACCTCCAAGTCGTTTCGTCAGCAGCAGCGTGAGCTGGCAGGGCGAGGAAACAATATTGACAAGTGATTTGCCCTAGGTTTTTGAGCTTTTCACTTTTCTCATCATCCAGAACATCCCTCATCTCCTTCGTTACATTTTTCTTCAGCTTCTCGTATTGTCGGTTGATGGCATCGCACGGAGAAGGGGGGAAGGGAAGCTCGCTTTGGTTATTCAGTGGCAACGTCTTTGAAAGGGAAACCACAGAAGGAGCCAACGCCTTCTGAAAGTCTTTGGATTTCAATGTTGTTGCTGTTGGCGCTATCGAGTCTTCAGCGTCGACGGTTTCGTCCAAACTATCTTGCGCAGCTGAACTTCGTGGTTTTCTCACAAAGCTTTTCGGGGATCGGTGTCCCCTGACACCATTCGGTCTTCTTATCTCAAATGCATCTACCCTCGGCTTTCGACTAGAATTCGCGCTATATCGAGATCTTCGATACGAAACTCTCTTTCGCCTAATCAACATGGTGTCCGCGAGTCGTTTACGCATAGAATCACTTGTTCCTGGGAATCGATCGCGAATGTAATTCGCAAGGAGTTGATGCAGAAAGGGTTCTAGGTCATTTTTGTCGTCGTCCCGGATGCGAAAGCTCCTCAGCACCTTCAGGTTTTGTGCCTGTCTGCTTGCTCTGCGAACAGTGTTTGCGAAATTATGAAAGAGATCTATCTCATTTCCTATTTCTCGTAGAGCATCTTGCAACTCCGTTTCCGCGGACGGAATCTCTTTGCAAGCTTCGACGGTTTCGGTTGAATTGAGGATACCCATACCTACAATGACGCGTTAGGAATTGCCACAATGGATTGCGAGGCACTCACAATATTCAGGACGATATGATAATCCTTCTAAAAGACCAAGAACAACATCCCGGGCACTTGGAGCATCCCGCAGGCGATAATCAAAGCTTCCGCGGCCTGTGGAATGAATTCCAACACTGTCTCTCCAGATACAAAACTTTGCCACCTGGTCGTCCACGAGAGACAGCTGTTTAGGACCGATCGAGGCCGCCTTATGAAGACAGGTTTCAAACAATCGGAGGCACAAATTGACTCGACGTGCGACCGGAGGTAGTTCTTGCGGTTCCTCATCATCAACGGGGTCCATTTTGGTTATTTTAGTTGTCAGCGTGAGATGTGTGAGAACGAGAGATTTCCGTGTCAAGCTGGATCTACGGGCTACGGCGGCAAAGACCCACAGCCTGCTGACAGGTCCATAATCGTCGAATCATCGAGCTTCTGACGCCGGTGCGAAGCCTGCATCAGGTGGCCACCCTGGTAGGCACCTTTCCGCGGTCTCTCTTGACTGGCTCGCGCTCATTCGCCGAGTGCATAGATGACAAATCTCTCGTCCGCTTGAATATCGAACACATCACCCCGCTCGATCTTCTGACTCAGCCCTCACAGTCTCACGCAGTCATCTCTGTAACGTCCCTTCATTCATCTTG